ATCCGTTGTTGGGCCACACGCAGCCCAGCTGGCTATGGGCACTCGGGAGAGGACGGACACAGCGGCTGTTTGGGTGGTGGGGCAAGACTCCACTCCAGTGTCTTCAAATTGTGGGGCATGTTAGCCCCGGCACTGCATCTGTGGGCGGGCGTCAGAGACTGCAGCCAGTGGCCAATGTCCCCAGCATGAGTGGCGACTGGCTCAGGCTACAGCTGAGGGAGTGCATCGAGCGTGGCCATGCCAAAGCAGCTCTCTCTTTGAATTGCGGGGCACGTTCACTCCAGCGGCACCTCTGTGGGCGGGGGCAGAGACCGCTACCAGTGGCCAGAGTCCCTGGTGTGAGTGGCAGCTGCCTCAGCCTATGGCTGAAGGAGCACATCGAGCATGGTCACCCCAAATTAGCTTTATAATATAGAAAGATCATCAGGAATTTTAACTGCAACTGGTCTTTTTATGTTATTATTTATTGCTGATTGTTTTACTGAATGTTGTAAGCTGCCCTGAGCCCGATTGCCGGGCAAGGTGGGATACAAACTGAAAAAATTTTTAAAAAATAAAATTACTCAGTCATACTGCCAGTCTAGAAGTGCTATTTCCAAAACTCTTGACATTTGACATAGAAAATAACAGATATAAAGTTTAACACAATCTCAATGAAAAGACTCAACAGCTGAAACATCTTTCCCACTTTAAAAGTGATCTATACCAAATATTGCCAAATACAGATCAGTTGTAAACCACTAACAACCATTCTGAATATGTAACAGTATACATTTTAATACCTGAACCCTGAGAAGTATTAGACCACCGTTCTGGAAGCACAAATGTTCATTAAAACATTCATCAGATGGCGATAGAACTAAGATGCAATTTAAGGAACATTCGGCAGTACCACCGCATTAGATCACATAGGATCGGCGTTCATTACAGGGCGCAGCTGGTAAAGCGTTGCTCCTATCGGAATGCCTGCCTGAAAAGTTCAGTTTTTAAGGCCCTGTGGAACTGTGACAAGTCCCGCAGGGCCCTGATCTCGGCAGGGAGCTCGTTCCAGTAGGACGGAGCTACAAACGAAAAAGCCCTCGTCCTGGTTACCATCAACCTGACTTCCTTAGGGCCAGGGAGGTCCAGGAGGTTTTGGGATCCTGATCTCAGTGCTCTCTGGGGAACATACGGGGAAAGGCGGTCCCTCAGGTAGGCCGGTCCCTGACCATAAAGGGCTTTAAAGGTCAAAACCAGCACCTTGAAGTGGATCCGGAATGCTATTGGCAACCAGTGCAGAGTCTTGAGCACAGGCTGGATGTGCTCCCACCTGGGGAGGCCCATCAGCAGCCTGGCTGCCGCATTCTGCACCAGCTGCAGTTTCTGGAGTTGCACCAAGGGCAGCCCCATGTAGAGAGCATTGCAGTAGTCCAACCTCGAGGTGACCATAGCGTGGATCACTGTAGCCAGATCATTGCGTTCGAGGAAGGGAACCAACTGCCTAATCAGCGGAAGATGGTAAAAGTCTGCCTTGGCAGCGGCTGCTAACTGGGCCTCCATTGTTAAGGAGGCATCCAGGAGCACTCCCAAACTCCTGACCCTCGGAGCTGGCACCAATGGCGCCCCACCGAAGGCCGGGAGTGGGATCCCTACCCCCGTACCACTCCTATTCAGGCACAGGACCTCCGTCTTCGTTGGATTCAATTTCAATAGACTCAGTCTAAGCCATCCAGCCATGTCCTGCAACGCCTGGTCCAGATCTTCCGGGGTAGAGTCAGACTGACCGCCCAACATCAGATAGAGCTGGGTGTCATCCGCATATTGGTGACAACCCAGCTCATGCCTCCGGGCAATCTGGGCAAGGGGGTGCATGTAGATGTTAAAGAGCATCGGTGAGAGCACGACCCCTTGGGGCACACCACACACTAGTGGGTGCCTTCGGGACTGCTGCTCCCCAATAGCCACCCTTTGTCCCCGACCTTGGAGAAAGGAGACAAGCCACTGCAAGCCGAGCCCCTGAATTCCCATGTCGGCAAGGCGGTGGGCAAGCAGCTGATGGTCGACCATGTTGAACGCCGCCAACAGGTCGAGCAACAGCAGCACTGCTGTCCCGCCCCGATCCAGATGCCTCCGGAGGTCATCCATGAGAGCGACCAGTGCTGTCTCCGTCCCATGGCCAGAACGAAAACCGGACTGGAAAGGATCTAGCATGGGAACCCTAGGAAGTATTAGACCACCATTCTGGAAGCACAAAGCAAGCCTCTTTACAAGCAGTGTGCTCCTAACATTAATCCTTCCAAGTCCTCCAGCCCAACCACTCCCTATCAGCAAAAGAAGCCAGAGGAGGGAGAAATTTATCTATTTATCTGTTTCCTGAGAGATACTAGCTTCGTGGTATATCCCGGAGCTACGGCAGATGAAACGGGACCTAAGACGACTAGAGAGAGGGTGGTGGTGAACTCGTGACGAGGCTACAAGAACGTCCTATAGGTCGTTTATGAGAACCTATGAGATGGCAGTGAAGGCTGCGAAGAGAAATTTCTACGTGTCCTCCATTGCGTCTGCTAGCTCTTGCCTGGCCCAATTATTTAGAATTGTTTGGACATTGACTTTTGCCTCAGGGCATACCAAATGTTAGGGAATTGGCTATTGATTGTGAGGCATCTTGTCGCTGCGCCATGACCTCCCACCCACAATCAATACAATAGGAGAACTGAAAGCCCATTGGCCATCTTCAGGTCCAGTTTTGGACCACTTCAGTCTGCTCTCCCAGGACGAAGTCGACAAGATCCTGATAGCTGTTAAGCCCACTACCTGCCTCCTGGATCCCTGCCCATCGTGGCTGGTTAAGGCCTGCGGCAAGGAGGTCCAGAGCCCTCTGAGGGAGATTATTAATCTGTCCCTTTCAACTGGGACCTTCCTAGAGGGACTCAAGGAGGCAGTAGTCCGTCCTCAAGAAACCATTGGACAGGATGCTCCTTAATAACTACTGCCCAGTGTCCAATCTACCATTCCTGGGTAATGTGGTAGAGAGGGCACTGGCAACACAACTTCAGGTGTTCTTGGATGAAGCTAAGGTCCTGGATCCCTTCCAGTCTGGCTTCCGCCCCACCCATGGGATGGAGACGGTGCTGGTCGCCCTGGTGGATGACCTCCGGAGACATTTGGACCGAGATGGTTCGGCGCTACTGGTTCTGCTCGATCTCAGCAGCATTTGACATAGTTGACCATGAGGTGTTAACCCACTGCCTCACTGACACTGAGATACAGGGACTTGCCTTGCAATGGCTAGTCTCCTTTCTCCAGGTTCGGAGACCCAGGGTGGCACTTTGGGGGAGCTATCCCAGCGACACCCACTAGAATGTGGTGTCCTGCAGGGTGCAATCTTCTCCCCCATGCTGTTCAATACCTATATGCACCCCCTCGGTCAGATTATCCAGAGATATGGGCTGGGTTGTCACCAGTATACGGATGACACCCACCTCCATCTACTGATAGACGGCTGTCCAGACACCGCCTCAGAACATCTTGACGAGGCATTACAGGCCGTGGCTGGATGGTTACAACAGAGCCGAATGAAGTTAAATCCTTCTAAGATGGAGGTCCTGTACCTGAGTCACGGGGGGTTGAGTCAGGGGATCAGCCTCCCAACCTTCGATGGGGCTCCATTGGTGCCTACGTTGAGTGTGAAGAGTCTGGGGGTGTTCTTGGATACCTCCCTTATTCTGATTGTATGGTTTTATTATATCCTATATTTTACTCTAATCCTTGGTTTGTAATGGCTTATGGCTAAATACAAATAAATTTCTATTTCATTTCATTTACCTGGATACCTCCCATTCTATGGAGACACAGGTCACCACCACTGCCAGGTCTGCCTTTTTCTATCTGAGGCAGATCAGACAGTTAGCCCCGTATCTTACTCCCCAAGACTTAGCTACAGTGACCCATGCAATGGTCACTTCCAGATTAGATTATTGTAACTCTCTCTACATGGGGCTGCCCTTGACTCTGCTCCAGAAGTTGCAGCTAGTGCAGAATGCAGCAGCAAGGGTGTTGACAGCAACACCTGTGCGGGCTCGTATCCATCCGGTCCTGCCTGAACTGCACTGGCTGCCTATTGAATTCTGGATCCATTTCAAGGTGCTGGTGCTTACCTTTAAAGCCCTATACAGCCAGGGGTCAGCATACCTATGAGACCATCTCTCCCCATATGAGCCCCGGAGGACACTGAGGTCCACAAATCAACATCTGCTAGTGGTTCCTGGCCCCAGGGACATCCGACTAGCCTTGACCAGGGCCAGGACTTTTCCAGCCCCGGCCCCTGCCTGGTGGAATGAGCTCCCATGTATGATCAGGGCCCTGCAGGACCTATTACAGTTCCGCAGGGCCCGCAAGACGGAGCTCTTCTGCCAGGCATTTGGTTGCGACAGTGAACGCCCCCCCCCCCCAGCTTCTCTGGCCTTAGATCTTCTGGCCCAACTTTTCTGGCCAATTGTCCATCAATGGCCTGAGTCGGATTGGTCATCTAATTGTTTTATGACTACATGGTATTTTATGATATTTATATGTAAATTTAAGTGTATAATTTAACTGCTGTACACCACCCTGAGCCCATCTGGGGAGGGTGGAATATAAATCTAACAAAATACATACATACATTTGTGAGCAATTCTTCCATTTTACATTGCCAATTTTCCTTTGCACTGTTAACAAGGTGTTGGATTAAGTGCTAGAACATTTTAGATTAGCCCAGCTTTGGAAAGATTCAGCAGTTTCTTGATAACTCAAAATATGAGGAATTCCCTACATATGGAACACTTCGATTCCACAAAAGAAAAATGCATGCAATAATCATAGACTTCTCTTTTTTTCATTGCATGTATACACACTGGGAAGATGCCATTGGCTCTGCCTTCCTAGCATGTAAACGAGGTCTATATGCTTTAGGATTCAGATACAAGTTGTTTACACATGAGATCATCCAATATGGGTTCATCCTACTTCCATTCAAGACTTACCATTGATGACTCTCAGCACTTGATGGATCAAGAATAACAGCATTTTCACCCCTAAGCTTTCCTGAAAAAGACATGCTATAGGGTTAGTCTATTTATTCTTTATACTCTGCCTCCTAATGCATTATTCTTCATCCAGCTTCTGACAGTACTTAAAATAGCAAACACAGTAGAACAACAATGAATTGAAACTCTTAACGGCCCAAATCAAAGCAGAAGTAAAATGTAAGCGCTCACAACAATATTATGTATAGTTTAGAATCATAGAGTTGGAAAGGACTTCTAGTCCAACCCCCTGCACAATGCAAGAAATTCACAACTACACACCCCTCCACACCCTCTGTGACCCCTGTCTCATGCTGAGAAGATGACAAAAAGCCTCCAGGATCCCCAGCCAAACTGGCCTGGAGAAAAATTGCTTCCTGACCCCAAAGTGGCAATCAGCATTTCCCTGGGCATGTAAGAAAGGGCCACAAGAACTAAGCACTGAGGCAATCCTTCCTACCCTCCCTCTCATGATCTGCCTAAATTCACATAATCAGCATTGATGTCAGATGACCATCTAGCCTCTGCTTAAAAACCTCCAAAGAAGGAAAGCCTGCCACCTCCCAACTGCCACTGAGGAACCATTCTGTCAGGAAGTTCTTCCTAATGTTTAGCTGAAAACTTTTTTGATTTAATTTCAGCCCGTTGGTTCTGGTCTGACCTTCTGGAACAATAAGAGAAAACTCCATACCATCCTCTATATGACAGCCCTTCAAGTACTTGAAGATGTTTATCATATCACCTCTCAGTCATCTCCTCTCCAGGCTAAACATACTCAGCTCCTTCAACCTTTCCTCATAGGACTTGGTCCCCAGACCCCTCACCATCTTTGTTGCCCTCCACTGGACACACTTCCAGCTTGTCTATATCCTTCTTAAATTGTGCTGCCCTAAACTGAACACAGTACTCTAGGTGAGGTCTAACCAGAGCCAATAAGCCAGACTACACTGGATCAAGAATATATCATAAATAAATCACCTTCTTTCCATTTGCCAACTATCACAATCTTGCTTCCAATTACACATCCTTAAGACCATTCATTTCACACCAATTCAAAATGTATTTACTTGGAAAGAAATTTATCATTTCAGTTTATCATTAGGCCTACACAAGCAGGTAGCTTAGACACTCCTGAGTTTCAGGCTGTAAAATAGTATGACTTCTTAGACAATGTAGGTAATAATTGTGCCATTTCATATTAAGTCCTGGAACTAAGCAGGTGTTGCACTAGATCAGCTCCTGGAATGGAAGACCACGAAGTCACATACAGCAGAGCCATGCAAGCATCTCTCCTTATATATAATTGAATAGTGGGGTGACACTTTCCAGTTCTCCCATTGGCTGTGCAATACGCTCCGTCAGTCACTAGCCTATCAGCCGCCACTCAAGAGTACTCACGTGCCATTGGCCGGGTGCTGGGTCTGCTCCTCTTCCCCGTCCGCCCGACACTTAGCGACTGTCCTCTGTCAGAATTACTGGCAAATGGCTGTCTCTCCTGATGAAGACACTTCCCCTGTTTGGCTCCTCTGTGGAACTAACTTTTCCCTCAGTGGCTGCTGGTAGAAGGAAACCCTTTCCAGGCCTTTGTGATGAACTCATTGGGGCCCATCCTGACTAGGGTTGCTAGCTCCAGGTTGGGAAATTCCTGGATATTCTGTGTCTAAAGAAGCCAGAGTTTGGGGAGGGGAGAGGCCTCAACTGAACAGAATGCCATAGAGCCCATGGTCCAAAGCAGTTATTTTCTCTGGGGGCGGGGAGAGATCTGTTGTCTGGAGTTCAGTTGTGATACCCGGTGATCTTCAGGCTCCACCTGGAGGTTGGCTACCCTAGGTGTAGCAGTCAGCACTTCAAAGCAGGGTCTGCCAGGCAGAGATCAGTTCCCCTATGGCATTATACCCTGCTGAATCCTTCCCCTCCCCAAATGCTGCCCTCCACAGGATCCGCCCCCCAACTCTCCAGGTATTTCCCTACTCAGAGCTGGCAACCCTACTTTCCCCTCAGTGCCTGTTGCTAGGCAACCAAGCTTGATTCTGTCAGCCTATTTTGGCCTTTGGGGGAAAACTCATTGGGGCCAGTCCTGACTAGGGTTGCCAGCTCCAGGTAGGGAAATTCCTGGAGATTTTATGATAGAGATTTTATGATACCTGGCAATCTTCAGGCTCCACCTGGAGGTTGACTACCCTAGGCTACATCTAGGACAAATATGCTTAATATTGCAGATGATAATTGAAAAATATTTACAAGCAGGAATCTACAAGATTTGCATGGAGGGAGAAAGGAATCCCATCTCCCCCCTTTCACTTACTTTCTCTCAGGTCCACCACCTCCGTAAGCCTGGCTGAAGTAGTGGCAGCCACTCAGGCTCCTGCTCCTCCCCCCACAAAGAGAGAAATCTTGCTCACCCGTTCCCTCCTCCATTCTGTCTGCCTGGTCCCTGTTTCCCGCTTCCCCATCCCCCCCGCTGCCACCACTGCTCTGCCCACCCATCTGTTCTCCTACCTCTGAGTGGAGCAGCAGCAGCTCCTACCCTCCGCCTCCTATCTGGCTCAAGTGGCGGCTCCCCCTCCTCTAGTGCCTCCCATGTGTGGAAGGGGGGGGGGCTGCTGCTGAGCAAGTGGAGCACAGACAACATTCCTCTTGGTGGTGGTGTTGTTTAACATCCCCCAATGTTTTTAAGTTTTTATATTTTTCTGCAAACCTGAAGTACCCTCCAAGTTTGTAGAAAAATCTCCCTTCTCTCTACAGGGGTTTAAGATTAGAAAAGCCCCATCTGAAAACGTCACCATCTTCCTTAGGATCAACCAGCCTTTCTGCCAGTTCCTGTAACCTTTTGCAGGAGAACAACAGACATGGGTAGATTATCATCTTAGTAGGACATAAACTCAGCACAGCACCTCTATTGCCATCTTGCATAAGATAGTACAGAAAGAAAGAAAACCAGAGGTTCCAAGTCCTCAACAGGATCTTTAATTCCAGCTGTCCTGTAACAGTTTTTGCCCATCATCCCAATGGGATACTCTCACTTCCCTCTCTGGCAAACAGCTGAGGAGGTGAGTGAATTGCACTCTGCTTGGAGACTGGATCAGAAGATGTTCCTTTTGGGTTTTGAAGTTCCGTTTTAGATATAGCCTTGCCACCACCTTTGGATTTGTTCCTGTGACTTTCCTTACTCCTAGCTGCTGCCCAGAGGTACAACAGCCCAGGAGTTGCTTTGTCGGCCAAGGGTAGCAATCAGGCAATGTGTCTTAACTAAAAAGCAACCTTATTTTCACATTACATAAGTCTACAAGAAAATATAGTTCTTAGACTGCATTTCTAGACCTGAAAAAGAAACGTAAGAAGGTTGCTAAGCTATTGCCAGAGGTTTACAGATGGTTGTATACATAGAGTGGATGCTGGTCCTTCAGCATTGCTTCATCTGCAGTCCTACACATAGTAACACACACACATATACTGATGGGACAGCTCTTTTCAAAAGGGACAGTCTCCCCCCATGTGTGTCGAGAAAGACATTAGCCAATCTGGGCTTGACGTTCTGGGGCTCAAAAGCCCAGCCTGGCCGATAGAGAGGTGCTGACATATTAAAGAGATGGCATGTTTTCATTCCTGGACGTAAAGTCAAACCTTATCCAGTTTGACATGAGGCTTTTCCCAGCTTTGTTCTCTCCACCAAGGTGGTCGGTCTCCATATCTGTCAAACTCCCTTCTGGCCACCTCCCCATCATTTACCACAATGCCAATGGCATGAATGAGAGCAAAAGAAAGTAAAGTGGAAATCATGGTATGGTTCACTTTTTTTACAAGTCGGTTTAACCTTCACTCTGTCTTGAACTATCCCATATAATTTTAATCAAGGAGTCTGTAGCACAGCCTACCTTCAGAAGCATACTTCTTTTTTTCTTCAACATCTGTAGTTAGCTCAAACATATCCCCATAAGCTCGGGCAAGTCTCCAAAGAAAGCCAGCATAGTTTTTGTACTGCACAGAAACAGAATCAGACACTTTCAGTTTCCTTTACTGTAACTGTTAATTTCATATATAATTACCGATGACATGCTTAAAAAAAAGCCTTCACAAGTTAATCCTTGCATACCATGTTCAGACTGCAGATACTGAACAGAATCCATTTGATTGTACTCTATCATTTTATTACTTTTGTATGTTTCTCCTGGTACATCTGTTGCAAAGAAAAGTGTAAATCTTGGCAGCAAAAGAATGTTTCCAGGGGTTTTCTTGGACAATAAATTCACAGCTGTAACTCATTTGTTGTGTGGGATTCAGACATCTTCCCTTAAGGTAGAGCTCTGTTGTGGATATATCACGTTTTTCTAGTACTAAAACCACAATATTTCGGTACCAAGAAAACTAAATTCTTCCATTGCTGTTTAGCTTGCCAAGTGGAATATAGTTGAAAAAGAGTCACAGGAATCGCAATACAGTAATACAACTCTTAGCAGTACAGTGTCATGTCTACTTAACTTTGAGATCTTTTCTTCTAATTAAAATAACACCTTCTGTGGGCTTTGTATATCCTTGTGAAACAGCCCAATCATAGAGCAGTACAGTGTCATGTCTACTTAACTTTGTGATCTTTTCTTCTAATTAAAACAACAACAACAACCTTCTGTGGGCTTCGTATATCCTTACGAAACAGCCCAACCATAGAAGCTAAAATACTTCGCCACTCTGAGAAGTTTTCATTAGGTTTTCTTTTATACACATTCAGTTCAAAGTTGTGCATTCTTTGCATCTATTCAGACACACAGACAAACCACAATTCATTCACCATGCAAATGAGCTGCAAGTTCTCAGGCTCTCACATTTCCTCCTTTCTCCCATTGCACGTGGAGGTATGTTTGAAGATTTCCCAGTTCTAAAAGTCTTTGTTTTCATCTACAGTTTGTTGTGATGCCCAGTTCTGTTTTTGTTTTTCTGTTCCTGGTACAGGTTTCTAATCCCGGATTAAACTGTAGCTTGCAATCCCAGAAACTGGGGGGAAAACAAACCCCAGTTTTTTATGACATCCAAATTTAAATGTCACAATAAACTGCAGTTGGAAACTAAGACTAGAAAGTCTAAGTCAGGTTGTCTTCAGTCATGGTTCTGTGGGGCTAGCTCTATAGCAAGCTGATGTGGTGTCCCCAGGCAGTAGATTTAGGAGAACAGCAGCCTTCACCTCATCTTTGGCTACAATCTTGCCCTTGCCTCTGTCTGCCTCTCAACTTTACCACCCCTAAGCTGGTGCAGCTAATGCTTCTTCCCTCCTTGTTTCCCAGCATCCTGACCCCCCCCCCATCACATTTTAAGTGTATGAAAGGGCAACGGAACTCCATTGTGACCGGCATATAGCTTGTTGCCTCCTCCTCACAGTGTTTGTGTGGCACACAAAGCCACCACAAAACAGACCCTTCCTACACCACAAAAGAAACATCTCAGAAGCACAAGAGGCCATGCAGGTGGAGCCAATATTGCAGCTCCTCCCTGTGCCAGCACTGCCCCACCTTCTGCCATGAGCATCACTGGCACTGGGAAGTGCTGTAGCATGGGGCTTCTCGGGTTATTTTCATGGCACAGGATGAAGCTGCCCTTCATCAGCTCCCATGCCACAAAGGTAACATGCGAAGAGGACCCACATTAATGAGGCAGCTCCTGTGCGCAGTAAATTTCACTATTGCCTCCAGCTCTGTGTCCATGACAGGGGCCAGCCACTTCTGTTATCAGACTAATGCTACAAGTGTGGGCATCCCTCCCTCTCTACTGAATAACAACCAACACGCTTGGATTAGGGATAACAGGGGTTTTTTTGCAAAGATATTTGCAAAGATATGATCAGTGTTTTAAAAAGTGCCAAACTCCTTCAGGCACTGGTCCCCAATTTTCAGGCAGTTTTATCAGGTGTCAGAGCATTTTCCAGCCTTGCTTAAAGCCAACTTCCACTATTAAATTCTAACGTGACAAAAAGGAAAAACTGAACGTGCCACACACTGTGTTGAAGAGACATGCTGAAAAGAACATTTGTGTGGCACACGTCCTTTGTACCTTTTCCTCGTTTTCAAGCAACAGTCTGAAGGCCTCTCTTTTCTCGTTGTCTGAACCACAATGCAATGTGTCCACCTGCTGCAGAAGATTAAACAATTCTATTTTCTCTTCTGGTGTCAGAGCAGATGCAGATGAACTGATCCATCCTTTTTCTTCCTCAGATTCTCCTTCAGTGTCGGTGTGAGCCGTAACATAGCTAAAATACACAACAAATACTCAACAGCACTCGGGCAGCAAGGACAGTTCTGATGCAACCTGTTTTTACCAATTACTCAGATTTAAGAATATTTTTTCAGTTCACATAGGGCTCACCGCCATTTTTAAGTATTCCCCACTATGAACAATAGATTAATGTTTGTTAGGCAAAGGTTTTTCTGGATTTTGCTTAACAATCTGTTGGAGAACCCTTCATTGTACTCCAAAAAAGGGGAAAAAGCAGAACACGAGCTGATATTTTCAGACCTCTAGAATAACTCCCGTTTGGTCCCTGCATCTGTCAAACAACTTTATTATGCTGTATGCTAATTTTTTGCTCACCCTCTACCTATATGTATGGACTGGCAACTTCCATTTCAATGTATCTGAAGAAATGTGCATGCACACAAAAGCTTATACCTTGAATAAAACTTGGTTGGTCTTAAAGGTGCCACTGGACATGAACTCTGTTCTGCTGCTTCAGACCAACACAGCTACCCACCTGGATCTATCTTTAGATGCTGTTTTTGATATAAGCAAATCCAAATACTATGGAATTTAAACTCTAGCACATCTTTGCCCAATATATAGTACCACTGTAGGTTTCTATAATATTTATGTTTGAAGTTAAAAAACTTAGGAAAAGAGAACACGATTGTTTAAAATTACCAACAGAAATTGCTTGAAAACACCGAATGCCAGCAAAGATTTAAAAATCTTTAAAAGTTCCTGCATGGTACCATGAGCTTTGGAATTAGCAGCTTTTTAGCAGCACTTGAAATACCTCTTGATGAAGATATTTTGATTCATCACAAGAATCAGGGTCATTCACTGAACCACCAAGACCTTGAGATGAGATAAGAGACGTTATCTCTTCCATGCCAACAAAAACTCCCTCCTTCAAAAACTCAGTGAAGGCCTTAATTGCCACAGGCTGAAAAGGCAGTAATGGCTTTGACAAGATTTTCAGTGCAAGTACAAATGATAAAGAGAAGTTTACATAACTGGTTGGATCCAGAGATCCAGGGATCTTCGCACAAGTTTCATGTACCCTCCCCATAAAAAAAACCAAAAAACCCAGAAACATTTCCAAGCCTAAAATGATACCACAAAGGTTGGTGGGATGCAGAGAGGAGCAGAAAGAAGATGAAATCAATCCCTCTTGCCTCTTTCATCAGCGGAGCTCTGCTAATGGGCGAGGTACAAATAGCAACTTTGCACTCTCCTGCCAACCTAGCAGTTCGAAAGCAAGAAATTGCAAGTAGATAAATAGGTACCACTTCGGTGGGAAGGTAACAGCGTTCTGTGCACCTTGGTGTTTAGTCATGCTGGCCACATGACCATGGAAACGTCTTCAGACAGCGCTGGCTCTTCGGCTTTGAAACGGAGATGAGCACCACAACCCTAGAGTCAGACTCGACTGGCTTGCGAGCAAGGGAAACCTTTACCTTTACCTCTCCTTACTGCAACCCAGAGCGACCTGAATGGCTGTTATTCCACACAGGGCCTGTGAACCTGGGAATCAACCTCCCTAGGTCAGAAATGGCTTCTGGGGTACTTCAGACACTGTGGACCCAGGACATTTAGAGCTCTTCAAGGTTGAAACCAGCTCTTTGAATTAGACCTGCAAGCAACAAGGAAGCCAGTGCAGTTGGAAAAGCATTGGCTTTATGTGTTTTTTGTTGTACAAGTCCCAATAAGGACTCTTTAGCTGGTACAATATGCAGCTGCTTGTTTCTGAGCCACCAATAATTCAGCATCAAAGCCAAATAAGAAGAGTTCAGTAATGTCTGGTAAAGCAATATTTACCCAGGGCATCTTACTTTTGAACAGAATTTTTCACTGCCCTAGCCAATTTCAAAGACTTAAATTAAATCATCCCAATGTCACTTAGTAACTAGGTGTAAAAATACAACTACAAAATTATAACACATTCCAGCATCTACCTCCACTTACAGAATCCTTAAAAGCAATTATGCAAAGGCCATGCTTTGAACCAGGCAATTCAGCTTTGAACAGCAAGCAAAGGTGAGGCATCCACTTCCCATGAGCTTCCTCATGATACTGTGTGGGCTTTGCAACTTGCTTCCAACACCTGTGCACATACACATACATATACAAGCCAAGAACTGCTCAGATCTTAAGTCAGAAGATCTGATTCAGGAAAAGTAGCATATAAACGTTTTCTAGATGCTAAAAAATAACAAGTATTTAACGGCAAACAATTTTTTTAAATGATCTCTTAAAGGCTGGACTATGTTAAAAAGACCTACCTGCCTTCACTTTCTGCCTCCTCAGAACTATTGGTGTCTGACACACCTTGAGCTACCTCAGCTTTCCGTTTCCTTGTTGCTCTGTGTAAAGGGCTGGTCCTACGAGTATCTGTTTTCCCTTGGAGCTCCTCTCGAACAAGTTCTTCCAACTTGGGGACAGCTTCTTTCAGAAACGTCACCTCCTTTTTAAGCTCTTCCACGCTTACCAGTAGGCCATTCAGTTTCTCCAGTATCTGAAGCTGCCTTCCTTGCAACAGCATCACTGTTCCTTGCTCGTTCTGCGTTTCATACTGAAAATCTACCAGATCAAAACTGTTCTCTGAGTTCAGAAGCGTGGATAAATATAGGGCTTTCCTTCGTTTCCGACTCATGTGATACCAAAGCATGGCTAAACTAATTCCAGCAGCTCCTACCATTAGGCCAAGTATTAGTCTTTTGTTTTCAGAATGGGACATTCTTTTCTTCTTTTTCTGAAATTATAAACAGTGGAATAGAAACTGGCTTTTAATACTCATACAGTGGATGGAAGGGATGGGGCAGTCCTCTTAACAACCCAGTTAAGCAGAGTCATTTATTAACTTGTTTTATGTGATGGCTTATGCCGATCTGTGAGCCGCCCTGAGCCCGCGTTGCGGGGAGGGCGGGCTATAAATTGAAACTATAAATAAAATTAATATATAAATAAACAAACACTGGTGTCATTGATTAAAATGTTGGCAGTAATATGAAATGCATAGAACTAATTTTCATGGAAGTGCAATTATCATTTTATTTACTTCATTTATACCCCACCTTTTCCTCCAATGGGGACCAAAAGTGGCTTACACAACTTTCCTCTTCTCCATTTATCCTTTAACAACCCTGTGAGGTACATCAGGTTGAGAATGCGTGACTGATGCAAGGTAGCCTAGAGAGCTTCCATGGCAGAGTGGGGATTCAAATATGGGTCTCCCAGATCCTACCCCAATGCTCTAACCACTATACCGCATTGGTAACAAGAATAAGATGAATTCACATAAGTGCAAAAAGGCCTGCTTTTGTTTTAGGTCTGCCTGGGATGGAAACCAGTTTGAGATTTTGAGAATTAATCCACTTAAATCCTAAAGGCTGCCTTTATTAATACAGTGGGAATCTATGACGCAGAGTTAATGAAGGTCTCCCGAATCTGTTCTGCGGGTGTACAAAGACCTCACATCACCATGACCCCTGCACAATTCGTTATCTTCTAATATCTCTCAAGGCTTACAGGTCTCAAGGTTAAACGGGCAGAAAAGTGGGGACTTTCCAACAGTATAATCAGAGGCCACAGTCCAATACAGAGCTAAGGAAACTGGATAGTGGCCAGTGTTTTATTTCAGTGGGCTTTTAATACCTTCCTTTGAGACTTAGGAATGTGGCAGGCTATGTATCAAAAACTTAATATATAAAACCAAAAGTTCTCACAGTATTAAAGAATAAGCTTGAGTGCTGGTGAATGCAGAACAGCCACTTCTTTGAACATCCCCCCCCCCTTAATACACTGCAATCTAGGTGTATATAGGGACTGCAGAGTTTGACTAGGAAATCTAAAATGTATGGATTCAAGTAAGTCTACATGAAAAGGTCTGTTTTTCCATAGATATCCTTAGGTAGAGTTTTATAT